ACGGGTGCGAGAGAGACCGGCTTGTTCGGAAGCAGCCCGCAGGCCGCGGGGCAAGCCGCGGTGTGTGACGGCTCGAGAGACGAGCGGGGCTGGCCGGGCCTCTATCGTGACAATGAAGGAAAAAGGAACGCGAGGGAACGTCACGTCGCCACGGCTTGCCACGGCTTGCCACGGCTTGCCATCCCGCGTCAGCGTCAATAATACGCGCATGCCTTCTCTGTCGCCCGCCCTCTCCCCGCCCCTCGCTGTTCCAGCCATCATCCTCCAGCGCACAGTGGGCGAGAAGACCGGTGGAGGCGGCCAAAACCCTAGACGCGTTTTGAGCTCCAGAGTCGCTAAATGGGACTCGAATCGAACGTGTGACCCCACCAATGCATTCCTCGTTCGGAGAGCAATCCATTGGTGGGGTCACACGTTCGGTTCGAGTCCCATTTACCGTCTCTGGAGCTCAAAACGCGTCTTGAGTTTTGGCCGCCTCCACCGGTCTTCTGGCCCACTGTGCGAGGGCGGCCGAGGGAGGTCAGCGACGTCGTCGTCGAGGCAGCGCTGCACGGCGCGGTGGAGGCACGGCGGCTCTGGGGGCGCCGGGCCGGGGGGTCTGGGGGCTCCTCGAGATAACGATCAGCGAGGGGAGCGGGGCGAGCGGGGCGAGCGGGACAGGTGCAAAGACCAGGCGAAGACCGCGCACCCAAACACCAACACAACAACAACAACAAGAAGCAAGAGCAACAACATCCGCGGCGGTATCCATCGCGCACGAAGCGCGAGCGCGCTCCGGAGGCCGAGCCCGAGGCCGTGCCGGAGGCCCTTCACGACCTCAATGCATGCAAGAAGAGCTTCGGGCAAAATAATTGGAACGCCAACGCGAGTATTCCGCGCTCCGGAAATTCCGGGAAATTCCTAGCCCCGCTCGATTCTGCAGTTATGCCGCGGTGGAACCAGGCAACCGACAGTTGTCAGTAAAACAACAACAACAAAATCCGACAGGATTGTACCAAAACAACAACAACCAGCGGCACATCAGCGTGTCCAGCAGCCAGAAGCAGCGCGACAGCGGTTTGTCGAACAAAACCAAAAGCAGACAGCGGCCTGTCCGACAACACAAACAACAAAAACAAATGGAAGCAGATAGCTCCGAGGGGTGAATCACTCAGGGTTCTGGTGTACACATGAGTACATGCCCCAAAGAACAGAAATTTGTCATCCAGACGTCAAATGATATCAAAGAATGGTCAAAATCCTGTTTGTCAGAATGACATCATAGTCGACGGTCAAAGTTAGGGAATTTTGACGTCAAGTTGATGTCAAATGATGTCACGAACCCATTAACTGTATAAAGGATACGACTCTACTCATCAGCTGATATCCCTCCTTATGTTTGTGCCGCCTATGTGCGGTAGTAATGTCTCCTTCTATTGTACGTCGAAAGTCGCTCCGCGGCCGGCCGGATTCGAACCCATCTCCTCGGCTTCGGAGGCGAGCTCTTTACCACTGCGCCACGAAGACATATAAGGATCGACCTGCTCTAAGGCCAGCGGTCGGGAATCTGCCCGGCAGATGACTCGAAAGTGACGGCAATACTTCGGGATGTCAAAAATGACCGGTATTTTTCACTTCATCACCCGAACGCAATAGACTTTCCGTAATACCAAAGAAGTCTGAATTTTTTACCGCAATTGCTGATTAAATGCGTTCATGGATGACATCAAACGGATGTCATCGTGACCAAGTGAACTTTAAGATCTTAACTTCACAGGTTATCGCCAGGTTACCTCTTTTCCAAATGGCGTAAGACTTTTTGAAAGAAATAATGCAATTTCAGTTAGTTTTGCTCGTAGTTTGTAATGACTCAAATTGACATCATCCTGATGTCACCTTTCAAGAGAGTGACTAAATTTTGTCATTTTTTAGTCACTTGATGTCAATGTGACTATTTTCTGTTCTTTGGGTGAGTACGGGTGAGTACACCTTGCTTCAATCATAAATTTTACAATTTAAAACGTTTAAAGGCTTTATTTAGCGTTTTTAACGGCACTCGACGTTAAATCGGTAGAAAAACTAGAGAAGGAGTACGGGCAAATTTGTTCACATGAGTACACTAGTGATTCACCCTTCGGATAGCTCCCTGTCCAACAACATCAACAAAAGCAGACAGCGGTGGAAGCCTCCCTGAGCGCCGACGAGAGCGGGTGGTCAGCTCAGCCGGCTCAGCGCCCTTGCCGTACCGCGCAGCGCGGCCTGCGCGGCCTGTGCGGGAGGGTTGGGGGTGGGGGTGGGAGGGGTGGGCCGGAGGCTGCGTACTGCCGCCACTGCCGCAGTCCCAGACAGAGCGGCGGGCAAGGGCGGCCGGGGGCTGGGCTGGCTGGGCTGGGGGCGGCGGGGTGGGCACAGCGGCACCGCGCCGCACTGCAGGGAGTGGAGGCGGAGCGTAGCGGCAAGTGCAATGCCCGCTGTGAGGCAGGCAGGTCGGATAGGCAGGCAAGGCAGGCTAGGCCCAGATCGATGTGCCTCCAAACGAATCCCCTGGAGACTGATTCTGGGAGCCGTTTTCGTCGGCCTGTCTCTCTCGCACTCATGGGGCGCCCCCTGTAGGTGCGAGAGAGACAGGGCGACGAAAGCGACTCTCGGAATGAGTCTGCTGGACGCGCAGCGGGTTCGCGCCCCGGCGGCGGCAGCGGCGCGGAAAACGCGGCCGACGACGGGAAGAGTGCCGGCAGACAGTCTGGAGGACTGATGCAGCGCGATAACACCCTAATCCAAAATCAATATGCCCCCGCCCCGTCCCAGGTTCCGACCGACTCACTCGCCGTCCGATACCGGCCGTCATTCAAGCTGAGAGTCGCGGGCAAGCAAGCGAAGCAAGCGAAGCAAGCGAAGCCCTCCGCCCCTCTCTTCCTCGCCAGACTCGTCTCCCGAACCGAGTTTCCTCAAACACGCGCCTCAGACGCCCCCTGCGGCACGGCGGCGCGGGATTTGCTGGGATTTGCCGAGGTTTGCCGAGGTTTGCCAGGGTTTGCGCGCTAGCAGAGCTGGCGTTACGGCCAGGGCGTCGCCGAATCCGAGCAAATCCGCGCCGCGGGGCACAGGCACGAGGCACGACAGGCGCGCGATTGGCCGTTGTCCCCCTCGCACAGTGGCCCAGAAGCCGGTGGAGGCGGCCAAAACTCTAGACGCGTTTTGAGCTCCAGAGTCGCTAAATGGGACTCGAACCGAACGTGTGACCCCACCAATGGATTCCTCGTTCGGAGAGCAATCCATTGGTGGGGTCACACGTTCGGTTCGAGTCCCATTTAGCGACTCTGGAGCTCAAAACGCGTCTAGAGTTTTGGCCGCCTCCACCGGCTTCTGGCCCACTGTGCCTCGCCTCGAAGCTGTCTCTCTCGCGCCCCTACCGCACACTCCACGAGTGCGAGAGAGAGAGAGTCAGAGTGACGGCCTAGAGAGGGCCGCGGAATCGGCCGACACAGACGACGTCACTCCAGGAACTCGTTCTCGGCGTCCGCAGTGGTCTGGAGACGCCCGGCGCGCAGGACGGCCAGGACGCCACGTATCGCCAGACACATCTACGCACAACGGCCACGTTGCTGCGCTGCCTGCGCCGGCACACCAGACTAGAGTCGTTTTCGTCGCTCTGTCTCTCACGCACCTGCACGGCGCGCCTTGTGAGTGAGACAGACAGCGGCGAAAACGACTCTCGGAATCAGTCTGCAGCAGTGTGCGCTTTTGTTTTTTCACCTGGAACCGTGAACCTAGACTCCGCAGAGACCAGGAAGACTGCGCTCGTCCCGCTCCCACTGCGGCCCGGCCACGCGGCCACACCAATAAACGAGCCCGGAGACACACCGCGGGGGACACGATGAGCACGTTTGTAATCACACGCACGCGCCTACTCTGTGTCTCTCACGCGAGTGGTGGCGACACTGCGCCTGTCCTTGTCCTTCCCTCGGCCAGCTGGCCGCGCTTCGCACTTTTCCTTTTTCCGGCCGGCGGGCATATTGATTACTTCGACCTGGCCCAGCCCGGCCTAGCCTGCCCAGCCTAGCCGGCGGGCTGCCGGGGCACAGCGGCAGCGCCATGCATCGTATCGCCGCGATCAATGAATTGCCCTGAGACAAAGCCAGGCCGTGTCGTGGTCCTCCCCGTCGAGCACCCCGTTGCCGCGTTACCGCACTCAGCCAGCAGCCCTCCGGCAGCCCTCCGGCAGCCCTCCGGCAGCCCTCCGGCAGCCCTCCGGCAGCCCTCCGGCAGCCCTCCGGCAGCCCTCCGGCAGCCCTCCGGCAGCCCTCCGGCAGCCCTCCGGCAGCCCTCCGGCAGCCCTCCGGCAGCCCTCCGGCAGCCCTCCGGCTGCAAAAGGGCCGGCGGGCCGCCCGCACCGAGTCAAGTCCTCGACCACCACAGGTGCCGTTTCTCCGTCAACAGCGTCCTCCGTCTGGAGCGATCGCTGCCGCCTGTTTCCCGAGCATTATTTTCGTCGCTCTCTCTCGCGCCACGGTACACTCAGCTCACGCAGTGGCGTGCGCAGGGGGGGGGGTCAGGGGGGTCATGACCCCCCCCCTTTGGCCACTAGACAGCCGCCTTGAAGGTAGGCAAATTGCGTCACTTTCCCCCTGTAAGTAGGCAAAAAGCGTGGCCTGACCCCCCCCTTTCAAAATTTCTGCGCACGCCACTGAGCTCACGAGGGTTGGCACGATAAACCGTTCGGTTATCCACGCGCTCCGCACACTGGTACAGAGATATGGACTCGATGCGTGGTTTCCGAACGCACGTGTGCCATAGTTGTCCGAATCGAGCACTCGCTGCAGATGCTTCGGACATTTGGGGCAGCCCTGCAGTCCTCGCTCGTTCCCTCTTGCACTCTTGGAGTGCGGCAGACAGAGTGCGGGCAGTGGAATCGCTCAACCGGCAAGCCGGCGCTGCTTGTAGCATGCTCCGCGTTCGAACCCGGCGTCGCCGTCCTCAACCGAACTGCACCTCGGCGTTGTCATCCGGCCGCAACTCACCTGAGCTTCGACAGCGTCGTGGGGTTGGCGAGCTTCGACGTGAAGAAGGCCATGATGGAGTCTGGGCCCATGGTTCCGCTCGAGGACGTACACGCGGGGAGAACACGCGACACGCCGAGTGCCGCCGCCGCCACCTTCGAGGAGGCCGAGACCGAGAGGGTGCCGAAGGGTGCCGAAGGGCCGACCGCGGTACCGGTGCAGCTGATCGGTCTCCGGTTCAGATTCGGATTGGTGGGCGGGGGCGGGGGGCCGGAGGGGTGCCGCGGCGGCCAGGGTCGGAGTGCGAGAGTGCGGAGTGTGCGCTGCGCCCCGTCTCGGCACAGACTGAAGCGAAGGAGCGAGTCCTACTAGCTCTAGCCGACGGGGGCGCCCACGGCACGCCGCGCCGCGCCACACCGCGCCAGGGACCACCCCACGCTCTACCCCAAGCCCCACGCGCCGCCAAAGCCCAAAGCGTGCGCAAAGCGAGCGGCCGGCCCCACCGGCCCCACCCCTCTCCGCCCAGAGTCGGAAACGAGACGGACGCGGCGCGCGGCGCGAAGCTACGCGAAGCGTTGGGCTTCCCGCTCCCTCCCGCCGCAGCGAACCGCAGCGCGGCTCCAGCGGGAGGGAGCGACAGAGAGGCTCGCCGTTCGGGTTCCTCTCGGCTGCTCCTCGGCCACGGTTCGTGTCATTTCGGGTCCCGCTCGGGTCCCGTTCGGGTCCCGTTCGGACCGCACCGGCGCCCGCGTCCCCACACCACACCCCCGGCGCGGGTCCTCCCTTCTGCGGGGGTGGCGTTGTTGTGGGCGGCGAAGCCCTTTGGGTTGGGGCGGGGGTGGGGCCATCGGGGTGGACGGACACTTGCGCCCGAGTCATGTAACCGGGGAGGGTGGCCTTGGTCAGCCTTGGTCTACGGCACGTGGTTCTTACGTCGCGTCAGGCCAATTTGATTAGAGAGTGGGAAGAAGAGCTCAATCAAAATTAAATTAATGTTTCTTTCCGCCGCCTCTCTTACGCAGACTCACTCACGCAACACACGTGCTCTCACACGGCCACTGTTGTTCCCAACTTGTTTTGGGCTCAGAAATAACTCAAATGACTACTGTTTGAATTCAGAGATTCAGAAGACGGCGGTATTATTGTAAGAATAATTAGCACGTGAGACATGTGCCAAACTTGTGGATGAACTCGGGATTTTGACGTCATGCGTGTGACGGAGCTCCCTGCCTGACGTCACCACGACTCTGGCTCCTTTTCCTCACGCACACGGGGAACAAGAGTCCTAAATTTGACACCGCTCGCGTCGGATTAAGGCCCCCCCCTCTTGTTTTCGGGCCGACCGGACACCGGACCTAGACCGGACCCCGCAAGGAGAGAGACGTCACGCAGCATCCGGGACTGCCTACCCAGCAGGCGCCATGGCCCCCCGCGACCCCCGCGGAGAGGCTAGGCTGCTTCGCTCTACGCCGCACCGCCGCGCCGAGAGGGAAGGCCACCCAACCGACGCCACCTCTCGAAGGCTAGGCGTACGCCTACAGTAAGAGTTACAGTGTAAACAGGAACATTTCCTTGCAACTTATGGTTGGAGTTCTTAAGAAGAAAATAAAATTGTAAAAGTAATAATTTATTTTGAGTCTTCCGTGTCACAAATATTTGAAGCCAAACAAATCTTGGCTATGGATCACAGATTGAAATGATAGTTACTAAGAAAAATGAACGATGGCATTTCAACTCAATATACTTGCAAACATTTAAATGTACAATAAAAAGTAAACTAGAATAAATTTTACACATGATTAGAAAAATAATTATGGTAGGAACACTTTAAATGCATGAGTAAAAAAAATAATTGATTAGCTACTAATATATTTTCAATAATTAATGACTCTGGCAAGATAAAATCTTAAAACTTTCAAATCACAGCCACACTGGATTAATCTTGAAGGGGTAGATTAGGTGTCTCCACTGGAAGATGGCCTTATTACTTCTGCTAAACGTTTTTCTGGAAAGGGGAAACAAACAACACAAGCCAGTAAAGCACTACTGGACAAATCAACGTACATCACAAAAAAAAATAATTGAGTTTTGAAAGTACTTACGAATTTGTAAACGAGTTCTCAGTACCGAAGAGGAGAGCTTTGCACCTAAGTAAAATAATATGGGGAGTGCCGCAATTGCACCAGAACAGCCAAAGTAGATTACATCCGTGGGTTGAATCTTCTGTTTACATTGCAGCTTGTCATTCCATAACATTCGTGTCACATTCATCTATTAAAAGAAGGAAGACAACCATAGAAAACATAGCTTCATCAAGTGATGCTTCAGGGCTCACTACAGTCTTGGAATGAGCCATCAATAAACTTACGGCATCCTTTATGTCCATGCATTCATTTAGTTTAGAATTCTTTAAACCATCATAAAATGAATTCATGTCACCATACATTTTTTCACAGTCTACACAAGCAGTTTTGTTGTAGGTGTCATCACCCGTAGAATGATTAAGAAAGCAAACCTGAGTACTATTTAATAATTCAAAGAATTGAGTGGTATGGTTTGCCAAAACTAGAGACCCATTCACAGAGTCAAAACAATCTGTAAAAATTAAAAATAACACCGGGATAAAAGAATGTCAAGAAAAATAATAAAGAAAAGTAACAAAAGTTCATTGATTACATTGGCAATTTGCTCCATCCCACATGTCAGTGATGTAAGTGAAACCTTTCTCAATGACTTCCAATCGATCGAGATTAAGCAGCTTCTCTTTACATTTGACATTCCCTTCACCATCTTCAACCTGGGCGGAAAAAAAGAAAATTGTCATCCATTTGTCAGGGGTACAAAGTAATTGACAAGTCACAAGGGTATTCAAATGTGAAGGGAAAATTACGTGTAGAATGGCTTCATGAGATGCTCTCACATCTTCCAATTCTGTCACACACGCCTGACAGATTCTGATGGGACGAGCATTTTTCACAGCACAGTAAACAAAATTTGAAGACGTATTGGCAAACTGTTCCAACAACTGTTTACATGTAATATTCTCACTGGCACCAAACGCAAATGAATCCCTAGAGAGAAAATAAGTGAAAAAACAACAAAGATTAGAATGACATGACATTGATTTCAGAACAATACTGTTGCAACAGAGAACACAGTGACAAATAACTATGTCACAGAAGCTTACTCGAAAGTGTGTAAATTTCCCGCCGAAAAGGATAGAAAACTGCCTAAACAGATTAGAAAGATTTTAATTCGGACCATGATGGTGTCATCCATCAACTCACACAAGTGCCAGATTCCAGCTTAAATCAAAATCAAACACTTGTAGCAGACAGAATGACTCAATCTTCGGGCAACTCTAACCTCAAACGTAAATACACAGTCATCCTGCGAATAGTCACTGCTCTGCGAATAGCCGTGCACCAGCAGACGACAGACAACAGCTGCAGCTGCGGACGACGTGACTTCACCGCAGAAAAACAAACAGTGCGGCAATCCTTATCGCACTGATCGCATTGGGTGGCCCGAGAATTGGGCTAAAGGAGGACTGTAGCAACAGCAACATGCGGCAGGCTCTCGCATCTGCTATCAGTGAACTTTTCCCCCGAGCGCGTCGCTGTGTCCATCAAGAGTTTGTTTACAAAGTGCACAGCGGTCGTGTAGTGCCCTCAGCTGGGGGGTTATGGAGACAACTGTCAGCTTTAACAGCAAGTAGTTTGACTCAAAAGTACATATACAGAGGTATGCTTTCAAATTCTTGGGTTTGGTGCTATATGCAGTTGAATCCCCTAAATTTGTATGTGGGTCATGACGGAAAGGTACACGATTGTCTTTGTTTTCAATGTTCCATTTTAGAAGCAGGATGATTCGACTAGGACAAGGCAAAATTCTTGGTGCTTTGAAGACGGCTGGAAGGTCTATGTCTACAGTGTCAACAGAGGCTGGAAATATCGGAAATCAGACTTCATGTACACAAGAGTACAACGGACTTCCATTTGGTAACATTCCTGGTCCTAAAAGAATTCCTCTTTGGGGTAACTTATGGCAATATAAGTTAGGTAAGTTAAAATGACCCAGTATAAAGGAGCTTTTACATTTGACCCTGTTCCTGTGTTGATTTGCTACTTTCATTGATGTTTTTCAGGCATTTATGACTGGACTCAGTATCATAAAGTCCTTTGTCAGCTGCACGAAGAGTATGGTCCTATTGTCCGAGAAGATCTTGGACCTTACTACACAGTTATTCATGTTTTTGATCCCGATGATGCACGGACAGTCTATGCAGCTGAGGGACGGTCGCCTATTATTCGTCCTCTTCAGGAAACAGTTAAGTTGTATCGCCAGAAAAAGGATAAGTCTCCTGGACTAGGAAATACGTAAGTAGCTTCTTTTTGTACTTATTTATCAAAGCATTTCAAAATGTTTAAAAAATTGAAATATGAAAACATGTATTGTGAGAGTTTTGTTCATTTGTCATGGCAGGAATGGAGAGGAGTGGTACAGATTAAGGAGTGCAGTGCGACACTTGATGCTTCAACCTCGAGAAGTTAGCCAGTATTTACCTGAAGTTGATGAAGCTACTAACCTTCTAATAGCTCGTTTAAAATCTTGTATGAGTCAACATGGAAGGGTCACCACTCTGAATGAGGAAGTAGCAAAGTGGTCTCAGGAATGTAAGTAAATATTATGTAATGATCCTTCTATGATTCTGTTTTTAGATGCACTCTATATTATTATTATCTTTTTATTTCAGCTGCGGGCCGTATTTGCTTTGGTAAAAGTCTTAAATGCTTTTCTCAAGGCCCTGAAGAAAAAGAACTTGATGTTATCATTAAGTCCAATCGAGAAATGTTCAGGCTCTCAGCTGTACTCAAATTTTCCCTGCCTATTTACAAAATAGTGCCAACTCCTCTTTGGCGGAGAGTATCTGAATTGGAAGATATTTTAGTAGAGTAAGATAGTTTTTATCAGCTGCAATTTAAAAAGTGAGTCCAAGTAGCTAAAAATAATAGTTCTACCCCATACTTTGTTTCTTTTTCTAATCAGCTACTCTGAGAAGCACGTCAACTTCACTGTGGATACAATTAACAGCATTGTAAAGGAAGGGAAGGAAATTCCAGACCGTTATAGTTTTATGAGCCACCTTATTGCCTCAAAAGATTTGAGTCGAAAGGACATAACAGTATTGACCCTGTCACTTTTCCTTGATGGTCTCAGCACAGTAAGTAGTCGTAGGAGATCTGAACAAAATCCAGCGTATCTTTCAAATTTATTCTATTTTCAAATTTCTTTTATTGCATTTCCTTTATACATTCATTGTTTTTCAGACAGTACCTATGCTGCTTTTCACTTTGTACAATCTTGCCATTCATCCTGAAGTTCAAGAAAAGACTTTTGAAGAAATAAAGAATGCACTTCCTGATACTTCGACACCTCTCACTCCAAAAATCCTAGGGAATCTTCCATACCTTAAAGCTGTTGTGAAAGAGAGTTTTAGGTATAGTACTATGACAAAATGTTTCCATTACCTCTGTTTATGGAATTATTCAATATTATTTCCTGTTTGTGTATTTTTCCAGAACTCTGCCCAACGGAACTGATATTTCTAGAATCCTGGAGCAAGATCTCAATTTGTCTGGTTACAACATTCCAGCTGGTGTAAGTGCACACGTAATTGTTTCACAATGTTTTTTAATGTAGTCGCGCAGGCACATGTAATCTTGTTAACATTTTCAATTTACAGACCCATGTTAATTTAAATATGCTTGTAAACTTTCAATCCGACAAGTACTTCCCAGAACCCGAGAAATTTTTGCCTGAGCGCTGGTTACGGGGTGATGAAAGTCAATCTATCCATCCCTATGTATTGACTCCATTTGGTCATGGAACCCGGACTTGTGCAGGTATTTTAAAAGCTGGAAAAAAGACAGACCAGAAAGTGTTCTGGGCTTAAAATATACTGATTTAAAATATTTTATTTTACAGGTAGAAGGTTTGCTGAACAAGACATTTATGTATTCCTTGCAAAAATTTTGAGAAACTTCAAGCTTAGTCATTCTCATGAAACTGCACTTAGATCAGTGTATCACACCCTTTTATTCCCAGAAGGGCCTTTGCACCTCCACTTTGAGCCTCGCAAAAATTGAGTATTGGCCTAATTAATTTTTACCTCATATTCTGCTCTCCCAAACTCTTTGTGAGGTCCAAGAGTCGTCGTAATAGTACCTGATATCAAGAGTCAATATATAATTTTTGGCTTTTGGCAATATGTTACCAACCTTCAGTCTCTGATCAGACAGAAGACATGTAATATTCTCATCTTCCTTTTCGTTTCAGTATATTTTTCTATCTTATAAATAAACGTGGAAAATGGGTGAAAGTAATCTCATTCATCTGAACCCTCTCCACAACAAACAACGGCACTGGGCGCTGCGTCAACGCGTCAACCATTGTGCAGTATCTTCTGCGAAGTGGAGGGGAGAAAAAGGGGGGGGGAGGGGGGCAGTGATGTGTCCATGTAAATCGGGCGAGGCACGTGGGACTGCCTGCCTGCCTGCCTGCCTGCCTGCCTGCCTGGGTGGGGGCGCTGAGGCGTGGCGCGTCGGCTGGATATGACATTACACTTGATTCGCGCCCAATTGGCCTATTAATTCAACGCCACAATAAGTTCAACCTTGAGGTACAGAGACACGGCAGGGCAGAGGGCCGGCCAAACCGAACCGCCTGTCGGCCCTGTAGGCCCGGCGGCCTCCCGAACGAGACCAAACCGGTCCATTCAGCGGCCGGAACGTGCAACTTGCAGGGATGCGCATTTCTTCACACATGCTGATAGCCCGCCTGATTCTGAAGGACCGTTCCGTCGCTCTGTCTCTGTCGCACTCATGGGGCGTCCCGGAGGGGTGCGAGAGAGACAGAGCGCCGGAATGATCCACCAGGCTCGAGACGCAGGGACGCCCGGGGCTGTCCACATAAAGTACGCTCAGTTGACTGCTGTCATAGTCGTCCAGCTCCAGAGGCAAGGCGAAAGGGGCGGGGCCGTCGCCGTCTCATCGCGGCCAGCGGTCTATTTACATCGCAGCGCCGGGCCGGGCGCCTCCCCGCCGTCGTCCACGCGCCACTGCGCCCCACTGCGCCCCACGAGGTCCGATGATGGACTTCGCTAGCCAGCGCCTGGACCACCGACTGCCAAGTTTTGTCCGGCCGATTGTGCTGTCCTGTCGCTGACGGCCAGAAGCCGGCGGAGGCGGCCAAAACTCTCGACGCGTTTTGAGCTCCAGAGTCGCTAAATGGGACTCGAACCGAACGTGTGACCCCATCAATGGATTGCTCTCCGAACGAGGAATCCTATGGTGGGGTCACACGTTCGTTTCGAGGCCTGTTTAGCGACTCTGGAGCTCAAAACGCGTCGAGAGTTTTGGCCGCCTCCGCCGGCTTCTGGCCCACTGTGCAGCGGAGTGATTCGGCGCTGAGCGGTCGTCGGTCTGTCTCTCTCGCACTTGTACGTGCCTACGAGAGACAGAGAACCCGCCTGCTGACGGCGACGGCGGTCCGTCGGCGCCCTAAACGGGAACGGGACGCACACGTCGGCGTCTGCCTCGCCACGCCGCCACGCCGCCACCGGACGACCGGACCAGCGGGTCTGCCAATCTGGCGATCCATCTGGCCGCGCCGGCAAAATAATGACCTTTCGCTTCGCGCTTCGCCGATTGCGTGCGCCGCGTCGCCGCGTGCAACAACAAGAAATAGTTCGCGAACGGCGCAGGCAGGCCCGCCGCCTCTTCCCGAACCTAGAAGAAAGGCGACCTGCAGGTGCAGACTGCAGTCTAGACTGCAGTCTAGACTGCTTCCGCGCCTCGGCTCTCTCTCATCCAACAGGTGCGAGAGAGACAGCGACGCAAGGCTGCAGCGGTACTGCCGCTGACTCCCGGCGCGCGCCTGCGGGGTGCGGGGTAGGCAAGCCCGCGAGGCACGGCGGTGCAACGGGCAGGTATTCCGGCGCCGTGCTCGCCGCCTTCCAGGACGTCGCGGCCGTGGCACAGTGGGCCAGAAGACCAGTGGAGGCGGCCAATACTCCAGACGCGTTTTGAGCTCCAGAGTCGCTGAATGGGACTCGAAGCGAACGTGTGACCCCACCAATGGATTGCTCTCCGAACGAGGAATCCATTGGTGGGGTCACACGCTCAGTTCGAGTCCTGCTTAACGACTCTAGAGGTCAAAACGCGTCTGGAGTTTCGGCCGCCTCCACCGGTCTTCTGGCCCTCTGTGCGTGGCGCCCGAGAACGCTGCGTGGTTTGTCGCGGCGTGGCGCGGCGCGAACGTTGCCTGGCGTTGTGACAAGCTGGCAGTGTGCGCGGGCCGCGGGCAGCAGGCATCGGGGCTTGTCGCGGGACGGCCGGGAAGGCCAGGACGTCGCGCTGGGATGGACCGGCCGGGCCGGGCCGTGCCGTCAGCCCGTCAGGCCCGTCAGGCCGCCGCATCGCCAGTGCCGGACGAGCGGAACGGCGGGACGGCGGCGCAGTACTCGCGCGCGGGACGCCACTTCGGGACTTGGACTTCCCCGTCGACGGGCTGCTCCACTCGGACCTCCCTCTCGCACTCATGGGACGCACCGCGGAGGTGTGAGAGAGACAGACGTGCGGGAGTGACGGTGCGAATGGCGCCGACAGTGCGTGCAGTGCCTTCCCTGCCCGCCGCCCAGCCCGTGGGGCCCTTGGCGCCGTCACAGCCACTGGCGGGGCCGTCGGCCGAGCCGCTGCCTTTGCCGGCTGCAGCGCGCGGTTAGGAGGGATTCTCAGGTGAGCGGCGCGACACGGCGCGACACGGCGCGTGCCGAGGACCAGGACGACCAGGACGCGGCGTGGCCGTGGGCGGCGGCTGCCCGCGTGCATCCTGTGCAGCCCCCCCCCCTCCCCGCCCAATTAGCCCCTGAAAGGGCACGCCGTGCTTCGCCGCTCTGCCCCGCTGCCCCGGCGTCGCGTCGCGTCGCAGCGTGCAGCTCCGCGTCCACTCGCTTCCCGCTCACAATAGCCGCCCTGCTTCGCCCTGCTTCCGCTCCACTGTCGGACCCCCGGTGCCCCCGGCCGGGCTCGGCTAGGGCTAGACCCGCGGCGAGCGTCTGTCTCTCTCGCACTCATGGCGCGTCCCGCGCCGGCGCGAGAGAGACGACTCTCGGAATCAGTCTGCAGGCCGGCAGTCCCACGGCAGTGCCATGGCGGGCCCGTGGCAAGGCCTGACGCGTTCTGGGGTCTGTGCATGTGGCGTTGCAGCTCGCGACGAGCGCTTCTTGGCCGGTCTTGGTTCATGCTTCAATCAGAGACCACGTTCAGAACAACGTTGAGGAACCTCTTTCAGAGACCTCAGTCAGGAACCTCCATATGTAGCCGCCTTCCCGAGCACCTTACCTTCCCCACCACACTGTTCTGTGGTCCAATCAAAAGCTGCCTCCGAGGTGGCGGACTTCGACTGGCCTGTCGGGACTCGGGCTGCCTCATCGCTGTCCTTCTGCACGCCCGCCTGAATGTACACTCACCTGCCGAGCGTGGAGTCTTCACCGGGCCCTCCCAGAGCACGCATGGCAGCATGTCGGTCAGCATGCCGGCGGGGGGAGGCGAGGGGTCACTCCAACGCACCATTGGCCGAGGCCGCGTGACTCGGGTCACCTAACTTGACCCGGGTAGCCACCAGTCCACCTCGCCCCATCGTTCGCTCCACCGACCTGTGTTCGCCGGTCTGCATCCGTTAGTCTGCCCGCCTGTCGGTCAGTCAGTCAGTCCATCGGTCAGTCCCTCTGTCTGTCTGTCGGCCAGTCCGCCCGTCACTCTGTCTGTTAGTCATTCACTTGTCCGCACTTGGCCTGCATCGCGTCTCGCCCCCCTGCGGGGCCCTGGATCGCCCCTTGGTGTGTGCCGCGGGGCCGAACTGCGAGTGACAAATTATTTCGCCGTTACAGTTTCGTTCAATTACATGCGGCTTAATCTTTCCCTTTTGAAGAATCCGCCAGGCCAAAATGACGTCACGTTACGGCGTCGCGTTTCTGATTCGAATGACAACTCGAAGTGTCGCTCGAACACACAATGCATTTTTTAAGCCTTCCGGCGCGCAGTGTTTCAGATGATGGCTATTAAAAACTTGGTGTGTGCAGCACCCTGCCAGGGTCTCCTGCGTGCCATACATGGTGCCATGGCGTGCAACCCGTGCCCAAGCTGCAGGCTGGGTGTCTCCAGCAAGACAGGCAGGCTCAGGTCAGGTACTAGTCAAAACCTTTTTTTCACATTTTTACCTTGTTTGAAGTGTTTCATCCCTCGTTCCATACTCTACAAACTCAAGTGTGTACATAGTACACTCCACCTGGAGTCAACATGCATGTACACTCCAGCCTGGAGCATACCTGGCATGTACACTCCAACCTGGAGCATACCTGGCATGCACACTCCAGGTTGGCGTGAACTTGCCAAGTACACGCCAGGTGGCGCATACCTGCAGGTACTGTACACTGCTGCCCGGTCTAACACGCAAAGAATAGGGAGCTTTAGCAACAGTGCACCTGAAGGTATACGCCACCTGGCGTGTACTTGCCAAGTACACGATAACCTGGAGTGTACATGCCAGGTAAGCTCCAGGTTGGAGTGTACATGCCAGGTATGCTCCAGGTTGGAGTGTACACGCCAGGTATGCTCCAGGTTGGAGTGTACATGCCAGGTATGCTCCAGGTTGGAGTGTACATGCATGTTGACTCCAGGTGGAGTGTACTATGTACACACTTGAGTTTGTAGAGTATCTCACTGATGAAACTGAAGCGGACGCCGCTCCCCGGAGCGCCTGTGAAGTCCAGGGTAGGCAATCCCGCCCCGCAGGCGACGCGCGCGTCGAGCGGGATGGCCTACCCGGCCTTCCGCAGGCGCTGTGGGGCGGCAGGTAGAGCGGCAGGCTGTCCCTCCCTGCCCCGTTGAACGACGGCTTGCCCCTCAGGTGGTGCGTGGCCGAGAAGGGAGGACAGCGGCGGCTGCGCTGGGTGCTGACGGCGTGCGTGCTGGTGCTGGTGGTGGCCACCGTCACCGCGGCCATCGTGCTCCGCCTGGCCGGCATCTGCATCGGCGAGGACAAGGACGATGCCGCGCCGGCCGCCAGTCGAGCGGGCAGCGCGCCCAGCAGCCCGTTCAGAGGTAACGGCGCACAGTGGGCCAGAAGACCGGTGGAGGCGGACAAAAACTCTGGACGCGTTTTGAGCTCCAGAGTCGCTAAACAGGCCTCGAAACGAACGTGTGACCCCACCAATGGATTCCTCGTTCGGAAAGCAATCCATTGGTGGGGTCACACGTTCGGTTCGAGTCCTGCTTTGCGACTCTGCAGCTCAAAACGCGTCCATAGTTTTGGCCGCCTCCACCGGCTTCTGGCCCACTGTGCGGTGGTGACAAGACCCAGAGACGAGTTCACGGCGGTTGTAGGTGTGTACTCGGTCGCCAGTTTAGGTTGTGACACGTTTGGTTCGCAGCCGAGGGCCCCTTCGACACCGAGGCGGAGGGCGAGGGCGCGCAGGACCGCTCCATCCTCAAGGACTCCAACGTGTGGTACTTGCCGCGGGGCTCCGCCACCGAGTACTGGGGCGCACTGCCGGGAGCGTCCACCAGAAGGAGGCGGCGGCTGGACCCGGACGCGATGCCGGACCCGGAGCCACAGCCCACCACCATCATGTGGCGGGTGCTGACGGTGAGGTCTCGCCTTACCTTCAGAAACTCAAGGATCGAATCTTGTAAACTACACAGAAGTGTGCGGCGTACTGAGTAAAGTGTACTTAGTAAACGAGTATCTTCTAGTGTGCAGAGAATTTCACTGCAGTGTTCTCGTTGCCCAGAATGCTTCGACCGTGGAGGCCGCCTCGGAGAGCCCGACGCAGGCCGTGCAGTGGCACACCGTCCAGCCCAGCGAAAGCACACTGCAGGCCGACCAGCACGGCCAGCACGGCCAGCATGGACAGCGTGCCGAGAAGTCGCTGCGGCCCCCCGGCTGGGAACCCTTCGCTGCGGGCCAGGTACACTAGAGACACTCCCCCCCCCCCTGCATTACAGTGTACCGGACACACTTCCGCACGGAGCCTTACGGACTCCACGTGGAGTACGCTATAATTGTGTTCACTGGTTTTTAGAGCAACCTTGTTGTCCAGGTGGTGACGGAGCTGGACGCCAACGACCTGTCTTCCGACTCTAAGACCAGCAACGGGTGAGTCGGGGCGCTCTCATCGCTCTAATTTCTGTTTGGTTCAAATTTCATAGTCTATGACGTCACACGCCGGCCGGCGGCGCGGCGGCGGGTGATGGCCTGGACAGGACATGCCCGCTCCACCTGTGTCCTGTGCTCGGCCCTGTGTCCCGCCGGCCGACAATAGGCGGTCAATGCCGTTGTTGTTGTTGTTGCTGCTGCTGCTGTTGCTGTTGTTGGGGGCCGGGGCCTACGCCGCGCAGTAGCGGACGCAACCCGAGAATCGCTCGGGCCAACAACAAGTGGGACCGGGGTGGTCGCGACTGGGGGGACTATGGAATGAAGAGACAATGAAGTGCTTGAAGGTGAGCGTCCTTCCCTCGCAGGACGTCCCGGACCGTGTCGGGGGCGGTACGCCAGGTGTGGCAGGCCCTGGACCAGGGCGCGGCGCAGGACCGCAACGCCTCCGGGGCGGCGGGCTCGCCGGCAGGCCACGCCGACCTGTTCTGGGACATCTGGATGGCGCAGGACGACCCGGACAGAGTTCGGGAAGCCAGAGGTGAGCCCCGTCACAAAGCCACTCTGGTGGAGCGTGCCGTGCGAGTTTGGAAAGTTTTTCTTAAAAGCGCTTGCATCGGGATTCGAACCTTCTCCTTTGACGTGCAGCGCGCATGATGAAGCAGTACATGGACCTGAGCGTGGATCCGTGCAAGGACTTCTACGCGTACGCGTGCGGCGGTTGGGCCGCCGCGCACCCCGTGCCGCCCGACAAGTCCGTGTTCGACATGTTCGAGACGCTGCGGGAGATGCTGGACGCGGCCCTGCGCGCCGAGCTGGACGAGCCGGACACGTGGTCCGCGCCGACGACGCGGCCGACGACGACGCCGCGGCCGCCGCAGCCGACGCCCACGCCCACGCCGAGCAGCCCGAGTCCAAGTTCGAGTTCGAGGCCGCCGCCGACGGCACCGGCATCGGGCAGGGCCGGCCCGGTCCCCGCGCAGGAGCGCGGATGGAGCATCGGCGAGGCCACCGCTCCCCTGTCGTCGCCCTCCCTGGCCCTGGCCTCGGACACGGCATCCTCGGCGGAGATGACCGCCAACGCGGCGCCGTGGGGGACGGACGGCGGGGACCCGGCCTCGGACTCGGACTCGGGGACCGGCAAGCGCAGGGCGTCCGCCCTCTCCGCCCCGGACGCCACCACCAAGGCCAAGTGGCTGTACCAGTCGTGCATGAACCAGGGTAGGGCTGCACAGGGATTTGCTCTGGAATGTCGCCGTTGAAGAGCGTGTACCTGAAGTCTCTTGTCCTTGCGGGGCCGCAGAGCTGCTCGAGGCGCGCGGAGTGACGCCGCTGCTGCAGCTGCTCAAGGCGCTGGGCGGCTGGCCGGTGCTGGACCCCGGCTGGGAGGAGGCCGACGGCCAGCACTTCGACTGGCTCAATCTGGTGGCCGAGCTGCGCCTCTACAACAACGACATCCTCATCGCCGAGTGGGTGGGCCCCGACGTCAAGGACTCGGACCTGTACGTCATCCAGCTGGACCAGACGGGGCTAGGGCTGCCCACCAGGTACGCTCACCGCACTGTGAAAAACGTGATTGTCACTAGCTCTCCGTGTTAAGCGTGTGACCCTCCTTCCCGTTCCGCAGGGACTACTTCCTGGTGGCCAGCAACGCGGCGTACCTGCGCGCGTACCGCGAGTTCATGGTGGAGGTGATGGTGCTGCTGGGCGCGGACGCGGCGCGCGCGGCCAAGCACGCCGACGAGCTGGTGGCGTTCGAGACGAGCCTGGCCGAGATCGTGGCCTCGTCCGAGGAGCGGCGCAACGTGTCGCAGCTGTACCGGCGCCTGAGCGTGCGCGAGCTGTGCGCCAGCGTGCCGGGCATCGACTGGCACCGCTACCTGGCCGCCGTGCTGGGCAGGCCCGTCCGCGGCGACGACCCCGTCGTCATCTTCGCGCTGCGCTACATGAACGACCTGGCCGCGCTGGTGGACAAAGTAAGGTTCATCCTCATTAAGCTGCGTAACCACATAGCACCGGTAAATTTAAAACATGTGCGGCCAGGTGCCCAAGCGCGTGGTGGCCGACTACCTGCTGTGGCGCTTCGTCCGGCACCGCGTCAACAGCCTCGGCGACCGCTTCGGCGCCGCCAAGCAGCGCCTGCTGCACGCCCTGATGGGCCGCGAGGCCGTGCCCAAGCGCTGGAAGACCTGCGTGGCGCACGTCAACTCCCACATGGGCATGGCGCTGGGCGCGCTCTTCGTGCGCAAGTACTTCGACCACAACTCCAAGCAGGACGTGAGTAGCACTGTGGGGAAAAAAACGCACTTTTTAGCGGAAATCGTACAGAAATTTGGGCATGCGGAAATCTACTGCCACTGTCTCGGTGAGCGTGCGCGTCACTGGGGCGACGCCCGACGGGTTCTCATTGGCTATTCTGTGAGCGTGACGCGCGGATCCACCCAATTCTTATTTATTTAACATCTTAACACACTTAGACAGTGAAGCGGAGGGGTCATCGCCACCTGGAGTACGTCACTAGTGGCCTAGTGGCGTCAGCAGGCGGCTTCGTCGATCTCTCTCTCTCTCTCTCTCTCTCTCTCTCTCTCTCTCTCTCTCTCTCTCTCTCTCTCTCGCCCATGCGGGTCGCGCCATGCGAGAGAGAGGAGACGGTCACTCCGCCAAATTCTTTTAACATACGCAGTGGAAGGGGCCATCGCCACCTGGAGTACGTCACTGGTGGCGTCAGCAGGCTGCTCTGTCTGACTCTCGCACGCATAGGCGCCGCGCCATGAGTGCGAGAGAGCTAACCTGATTGGTCGCGCAGACGTTGGAGATGACGCGCGAGATCACGCAGTCGTTCCGCGAGACGCTCAACGAGACGCCGTGGCTGGACGAGGAGACGCGGCGCCTGGCGCTGCACAAGGTGGACTCCATGCAGCTGCGCATCGGCTACCCGGACTTCATCCTGGACCGGGACGCCCTCAACGAGCGCTACGAGGACGTGAGTCGTGAGTCTTGAGTCTCGGCCTCTGGAAAGTCGCTCCCCGGAGCGCACAGTGGGCCAGAAGACCGGCTGAGGCGGCCAAAGCTCTAGACGCGTTTTGAGCTCCTGAGTCGCTAAAAGGGACTCGAACCGGACGTGTGACCCCACCAATGGATTGCTCTCCGAACGAGGAATCCATTGGTGCGGTCACACGTTTGGTTCGAGTCCCATGTAGTGACTCTGGAGCTCAAAACGCGTCTGGAGTTTTGGCCGCCTCCACAGGCTTTCTAGCCCACTGTGGAGCGCCTGCGAAGCCCAGGGTAGGCAATCCCGCTCCGCGGGCGACGCGCGCGTCGAGCGGGACTGCCTACCCGCCCTTCCGCAGGCGCTGTGGGGCGGCAGGCAATGTTCGGCTGATATCGTTTGGAATGACATTAACGAGTGGTGCGGCAGGTGGACATCCACCCTGACCGGTACTTCGAGAACACGCTCAACATCCTGCGCAAGCTGGCCGTGGTGGAGCAGGAGCGACTGGGCACGGCCGTGAACAAGACGCTGTGGAACACGGCGCCCGCCGTCGTCAACGCCTACTACAGCAGGAACAAGAACCAGATCAGTGAGTGCCCCTGCCCCGTCCCCGGAGCCGTCGCACCGTGGGCCTGAAGACCGGTGTAGGCGGCCAAAACTCTAGACGCGCTTTGAGCTGCAGTCGCTAAACAGGGCTCGAATCAAACGTGTGACCCCACCAATGGATTCCTCGTTCGAAGAGCAATCCATTGGTGGGGCCACATGTTCGGTTCGAGCTCCATTTAGCGACTCTGCAGCTCGCGTCTGGAGTTTTGGCCGCCTACACCGGTCTTCTGGCCCACTGTGCGTCGCAGCTATCCGCTCCAGTTTTACCAGTGTGTCTGGCCGCAGTGTTCCCCGCCGGCATCCTGCAGCCGCCGTTCTACCACCGGCACCTGCCACGCTCCCTCAACTACGGCGGCATCGGGGTGGTCATCGGGCACGAGGTGACGCACGGCTTCGACGACAAGGGCCGCCTCTTCAACGAGCACGGCCGCCTGATGCGCTGGTGGAGCGAGGCCTCCATCTACAACTTCCACCAGCGCGCGCGGTGCCTCATCAGTGAGTACAGCAATGTTGCGTTGCACAATGGGCCAGAAGACCGGCTGAGGCGGACAAAACTCTAGACGCGTTTTGAGCTCCAGAGTCGCTAAACAGGACTTGAATCGAGCGTGTGACCCCACCAATGGATTCCTCGTTCGGAGAGCAATCCATTGGTGGGGTCACACGTTTGGTTCGAGGCCCATTTAGCGACTCTGGAGCTCAAAATGCGTCTAGAGTTTTGGCCGCCTCCACCGGTCTTCTGGCCCACTGTGCGTTGTTGGGGTTGACAGAGCTCACCGGCCGGGCGACGAACGGGGGGCCTACCCACCAGGCGCAGCCTCCGCCTGCCCCTGCGGCACGGCAAGTAGGCCACCCATTTGGCGCCGTCATCATTTCGCTCCGCTTAGCTCTGCTTGCCTCGCCGCGCCGGCAGTGTGGTGGCAGTGTGGTGGCAGGCGTCCGCTAAAGGGGCCTCTGAGTGGCGGCCTTGGCGGCTTTGAGTGACCTTGAGCTGGAGGGACAGGGCAATGCTCGTGCGCGTGTGCTCGGATGGACCTCTTGGACTGCTGGACCGTGGGCCGTGGACAAACTCTTAAAAGTGTGCAATTTTTCCTGTCGGCGAGACCAGTACATCGAATGCAGCGCACGCTTCAGACCCTCCGGAGTGTTTTGAGCACGTGTAATGTAAAAACTATTTAGGTTGCTATACGAAGAAAGAGTTCTCAAATGACGAAGCTTTTTCTTTGATAGCTGACCTCTGCTCAAAGTTCCTTTTTGTGTTTGACTGTATTAGTTTCTTCAGGGCCTAAAATAATTTGTAACGTTTTGAGAGTGCGTGTCCACGCCGGACTCTGCTTGCTGGGCCCTGGAAAAACCGTGACAAGTCCGATTTCTCTCTCCTTCAGACCAGTACAGCAAGTACAGCGTGTCGGAGCTCGACCTGCTCATCAACGGGGAGAACACGCAGGGCGAGAACATCGCCGACAACGGCGGCATCAAGCAGGCTTTTCGGGTGAGCTGCCTCAAATACCCTCTTCGAAAATGTCACGCTGTGCCGCGGCCGCGCCGAAGTCGCTGGCCGATAGGTGCCGGCGCACAGTGGGCCAGAAGACCGGTGGAGGCGGCCAAAACTCTCGACGCGTTTTGAGCCCCAGAGTCGCTTAACAGGCCTCGAACCGGACGTGTGACCCCACCAATGGATTCCTCGTTCGGAGAGCAATCCATTGGTGGGGTCACACGTTCGGTTCGAGTCCTGTGTAACGACTCTGGAGTTCAAAACGCGTCTAGAGTTTTGGCCGCCTCCGCCGGTCTTCTGACCCACTGTGGGACGGGCGGCTCGCTGAGTGAATGATTCATGGCGTAACACCTAGGCGTACGAGCGCTGGCTGTCCGAGCACGGCGACGCCGGGGAGACGCTGCCGGGGGTGAACGCCTCGAGCCGCCAGCTGTTCTTCATCAACTTCGCGCAGGTGTGGTGCAGCTCCATGCGCCCCGAGGCCATGCGCATCAAGCTCAAGATCGCCGTCCACTCGCCCGCCCGCTTCCGGTGAGCCTCGTCGACTTTCACCCCCCATGAGGGCCAGTGGCGTGCGCAGAAATTTTGAAGGGGGGGTGGCTGTCAGGCCATGCTTTTTGCCTACTTACAGGGGGAAAGCGACGCTATTTGCCTACCTTCGAGGCGGGGGTCGTCCCCACCCCCCAACCCCACCCCCCTTGTGCACGCCACTGATGAGGGCGGAGTAAAAGCACGGTTCAGCTGCACCGGTGCCGCTCACACTGTGCACTGTGTGTGCTTGCTTGCAGGGTCATCGGCACGCTGTCCAACTCCAAGGAGTTCGCCGACGTGTTCCAGTGCCCCGTGGGCTCCCCCATGAACCCGTCCGACAAGTGCTCTGTGTGGTGAACGGCCCCGGCGCTGCGGTGTGCGCCACCCGAGTCTCGGTGGTGCGCCGGGTGTCTTTGTAAACAGCCCGACGTTCGGGTGAACGCCCCGACGTCTTGGTGAACAACACTGTAAATCATAGTGAATAACTCAGCGTCTTGGTGAAAACCCCCGTCTTGGTGAACAACCCCGTCTTGGTGAAAAACCCAACCCCGTCTTCGTGAACAACCCCGTCTGTCTTGGTGAAGAGCCCCGTCTTGGTGAAGTGCCCGTCTTGGTGAAGAGCCCCTTGGTGAAGAACCTCGTCTTGGTGAACAGCCTTCCCGCCACGGGGCGCTTTGCAAGGCGCACAAGAGACGCTCTGAACAAATTGTACATAAATCAGTGGTGTGTATATTGCCCTTTCGGCGCTGGTGCCTTCCTTGTACATAGTGTAAACTACTTAATGTAAAATTTTCTAACGAGGCTGTATGATATAAGGTATTGTTAGTGTACTGCGTTGCCAAAGATTATCGATACTTGTCCCATCACGACATCGACAACTCGAACAATAAAAGGGACGACCTGCATTCGTGTGCACTTTTTGCTGTGTCCGTTTGTCTGTCTCTCTTTGCGTGTGTAAGTGTTTTTCAACCTAACCCGCTGCCCCAGTTTAAAGCTAAAGGTGAATGCTCCGCTCTGACCGGACATTGCGAAACACCCGGTGTTAATGTAAGTTCCGTGCCGAGGGCCGTGCGGGCAGACAGGCAGGCTCGACCCGGTGGCGGCAAGTTTAGCGTATCTACAGTCCCACAGTGGGCCAGAAGACCGGTGGAGGCGGCCAAAACTCTAGACGCGTTTTGAGCTCCAGAGTCGCTAAATGGGACTCGAACCGAACGTGTGACCCCACCAATGGATTCCTCGTTCGGAGAGCAATCCTGGTGGGGTCACAGGTTCGGTTCGAGGCCTATTTAGCGACTCTGGAGCTCGAAACGCGTCTAGAGTTTTGGCCGCTCCAACGGTCTTCTGGCCCACTGTGAGTCCCCCTCCTCCCTCGCCCGTCACCGTGACATTTTTATTATTGAAAGGACCGTAGCCTATCGTATGCTGCACTGGGAAGACAAAGGTATAAAATTTAGGCCATTTTGCGGCGTAAGGCGTTTTAATGCCATTGTCTGTCCCAAACTTACGGCCCTGCGAAACTTTCTAAAAATTGTTCCAATGCTACCGCAAAAAGGCACTCATTTTAATTTCAATTTTTTTTCGTTCTGGTTGTATTTTAACCGCGGCCTCAACGACCTTCACAGGGGGTGACAAACCATTCCGTCTCCACCGAACGATATAATATTTTCCAAACCAGTTTTAAGTACATCGGATGTTTGCGGTGGACCGGTTTCAAAGCTTCGAATCCCCTCGCCGGACTAGTTGTAAAAGAATCGGAAAGAATCGAATGACGTTCTACGAACCACAAACATCCCCTTACGGTTCAAACTACCGACCCCAAGAAAAAGGTAACTTTCGTTGTGACTACGCGAAATTAATCGATTCTCTCGATGTCCGCGACTGGCGAATGGTGCAGTCGCGCAGTACAGCCGAAAATTCAAACGCTCGCGGCACTGCACTGGTAAAACTAAAGCGTAGTTGTACGCTTCATTCAAGCGTACAACTACGCTTCAAGACTGTACGCCCTTCTTGAAGCATACAACTACGCTTCAAGACAATTCCCCCATGCATTTAGATAGGAAGAAAGGAGCGCATGAACTCTTGTACGCTTGAAGAAGGGCGTTCTGGCTGTACGCTTGGCGAAGGGCGTAATAGTACGCCTTAGTTTTACCAGTGTGCAGCGGTTCGCGAACGCGTCGCGTCGGCCGGGCGGACGCATTGTTCGGCCGTCACTTTTTCCCCACTTCTGACACTTCGCCCTTCTTTTTGCCACCTTTTATTCGGGACGGGTCGCCGGTGTCGTCACAGGCAATCGTCTTTCAGCGGGTCCTTCTCGTCGTTCTCGTCGTTCTACGGAGCGCGGCCAGGAGGCGTGTTCACGACACTGCTCACGCGGACACGTGCCTACACGTGCCTCGCTCTGACCGGGGCTCTGACGCAGGAAGCGATCCTTCGACTTTTCTTCTTTTCGACGACGGCGTGATTACACAGTAAATTGAAATGGCAGAATCCGTAACGGTTGGGCACAGAAACCGCCAGTAAATGATTCTGAATTTGGTAGTCACAGAAACTGGCATGGGCTAACAGAAACTGACAAAGGCTCCACAGAAACTGAGATGGGCTCACAGAAACTGCTAAGGGGTTGCGGTCTCGCTGGCCAACCTAACCTCACTGTGTCTCTGAATGTTTTGTTGTTTTGGACATTATTTACATATATTGATGAGTGTGCATACTTTTTCTTGCTTTGACAAGTCTATAAATTAATATATTCCTTACGCGGTACATCTACACTCTTTATTTCCAATAATATAACATCTCAAAGTCGCGAGGTGGAGGGAATCGCAATTGACGATTACGGTGCAGTGTTGTCCGGATTCCGTGGCGAGTGCACGGATTCCGTCGCCTGTGTGCAGAATGGGTTTGCCGTTGGCGGTTTTGGTGCAAAACCGCCCCGGATCTATTTACTGTCAGTTTCTGCGATTTGGGGCTCTCAGACCACAACAGATTCTGCCATTTCAATTTACTGTGTAGGAGCCGCGGGCCGACCAAACAGTGGAGGCGGCGGCCCGTCCCCCACACTGAAACAATCCGTGGACGCGCAAGAAGCAGGCAATCCCACCATCCCGCTTCAGAAACGCCCGAAAAGAATGCAAAAAGCGCACGGAATCCCAAACCATCTGGGCACTGCAAAATTGTGAGTGAGGGACCCCTGACTCGCTAGCCTCGCACACTCGCAACAGGGGACTGGACGGCGGTGCAGCGCGCTGCAGCGGCGCGGCGTAGGTCAGCGAGAGTGGCCACAAAGCGAGGGGTGAATCACTAGTGTACTCATGTGTACAAATTTGCCCGTACTCAGTGTACTCACTAGTCTAAAAAGGGCGAAATTCTCTAGTTTTTCGACGGATTCATCGTTGACGTTTAAAACGCTAAATAAAGCCTTAAAACGTTTAAAATTGTGAAATTTATGAGTAAAGCGAGGTGTACTCAACTGTACTCATGTACTCATGTGTACACTAGAACGCTGAGTGATTCACCCCTCGCCACAAAGTCGAGTCATGCTGGAGTACGCCTCATTCCGGGCTGTGCTTTCGTGCGAGAGGGACAGCGCCGGCGGCGCGGCTGAGCCATCGGTCACCAGTGGCTGGCCTCGGCCAAGACCTTCATGCAGTGTGGTGCACCAGCTCACTCTAGTTGTTCGAACCCACCCCGCGAGCAAGGGCGGCGAACGAACCGAACCGAACCGAACCGCGCGGGAAGAACCGCAAAAACACCGGAAACAGCACGCAGCGCTGCAGACTCTCTGTCTCTCTCGCACTCGCGGGGCGTCCCAGCTCCAGTCTCCAGCTCTTGCTGTCCCACCCGACGGCCAGTTTGACAGCACTGGGCCTGTCACGGCACGCGCCGCCCTGCGGTCCGAGACACGTCGCTCCGTCTCTCTCGCACTCACGGGGCGCCCCGTAGGAGTGCGAGAGAGACAGAGCGACGAGGAGGCGACCCACTGTGTTTGGGACCGGCCGTGCTTCGGAGCCGCGCACGCGAAGCCACACTGTAAAAAATTCCGTACTTCTGTACGGAAATGGTACAGAAAAATACAGTACGGAGGTACGGAGAAAAGTACGGAACGTTCCGTACTTGCTCCATATGAACCCATGTAAAATGGGTACGGAAAAAAGTACGGAACGTTCCGTAGTTGGCGAGTACGGACGGTCCAGGCAAATTATTGACCAGACATGTTCCGTACTTTTTCCGTACTTTTTTCTTGCAGTGCACCAAGCGCCGAAGCGGGGCGAAGCGGGGCGAGGCCCTCCCGAAAGGAAAAGCACGGGTCCGCGGCAGTCCGCGGGAAACCGGTGTAAATTTCCGCCGTGACTCCGCGACTGCCTATCAGATGAGTGACGGAGCGGCGAGGCGACTCGGATCACTACCGCATTAAACGGGTCATGGTGGCCGAAAAAAAAAAACATCGCACGGAGACACTGGAAACGCGAAGGCTCAGAATTTGCGGGGTCGGATTATGTTTCAAGTTCTCTATCGGGGGTGACATTTGCCTACTGCGAACTTGTGCCTTTATTCCAGCTGCTAAAACCACATTCAAACCCAGTGGTGCCGTCTAGGGTACACGCGGTCATACGCCGTATGACCTATAAATGAAATCACATATGCGTGTTTCTTTCGAGCGCCTGGGAGGTAGGCAACTGGTGAGCGTATTACCGTATGACCTATAATTTATTTTAGCCGGCAGCACTGTTTGTTCACACCCCCAAGGAACCTTTCATACACCTTTCTTTTTTTTCGATGGTAAATTTGGGAAGTGTCATTCATTATTGACAGCCCGGGCGTCGTGCCGAGCAGGAGACTGGATCATCCCGGTAGCGTTCCGAGTTGAATCAGATTAAAGACACGTATGTCCGTCCGGGCCGCTGCGCCGTTCCGTGTCGTGCGGCATGCCTGCAGGCACAGCACGGCCGGCGACGCCGACGGCGAGGCGGCTGCAGGCCGCTGCCGAAAAGTGTCGCTCTGTCTCTCTCGCACTCGTGGGGCGTCCCGCAAGTCCCGCAGGGGTGCGAGAGAGAGCGCGCTGTTGTTGACGGCCCGCCGGCCGGTGCTTTTGTCTTGCTTTGCCTAGGCGGCCCGAGGCAAAATATTTGACCGCAGGTGTCGCAATCGAGGGGCCTTCAACGTGTTTCCAGCCGTCGGGCCGCACTGCCGCGCTGCCGCACTGCGATACGCTCTGTCTCTCTCGCACCCTCGGAGAGCCCCATGACTGCGAGAGAGACTGAATCGCTCTGCAGCGGGCGGGGCGCCAACCCGGTGCAACGCACTGCATCGCACTCGGAGCAATGATCCGACCGGGCCGCCCGAACGATCGCCGACCGAGTGGAAGTCGGCACTTTTCGTGTTTTGACTTTCTACTGCACCACACTGAAAAACCAAACGTGGTCTCTGGTCTAGACCGCACCAACTGGTGTGGTCAAATGGGTGCCATTTTGACCACATCAGTTGGTGTGGCCTACGTTTGGTGCGTTTGGTGTGGTCTAGACCATACACAACGTGGCCAAACGTGGTCTAGGCCGCACCAGACGTGGCCAACGTGGTCTAGACTGCACCAACTGGTGTGGTCAAAATGGCACCCATTTGACCACACCCGTTGGTGGTCTAGACCACGTTCGGTTTTTCAGTGAGGGAACCGCGGGCGGCATCAGCCGCTGCTGGTTCAGGGCAAACACGCCAAGCAGAAGGTTGTTTTCACACCATCCTGCCGATTTCCGCTTTTCGCGGGAATACGCGTCAATCGCCACGAGACGTGACATCTTTGACGATTCGCCAGTTGACAATGTCAAGGTTAGAGGTCACGAAGTACGTCTTTGGACGCACGGGCTCGGACGTACACGTACCCGACGCCATTATCCCCACAGACCGCTCATCTATTTTCCCTTGTT